TTAGAGGATCCCCGTGTGTGTGTGTGAATCACCGTGTGTGTTGCTCACTCACACTCACTCACTTCGAATGTGTTTGACCGTACATAAACAAACAAAATGTCTGAAGTCAGAGAGAGACAAGGGATCAATGAACACGTCCGAGAGCGCACTCTCGTCTCCTCGTCACTACATAAACAAATAAACAAATCTCGCTCCTGTCCCGTCGATGGTGCGAATTTGCAGCCTGCGAGCGGAGACACCGCCAGCAAAACTCACAAATCGATGGGCGAGCGGGGCGAGTCGAACCTGACGTGGCGCTTGCCGCCGAGGCTCGCCTCGCTGGCCCTCTGCTCCGAGCGGCGCAGGCTGGCGCGGCACAGGCTGGTGCGGCGGAGGCTGCGCTCGTCCTCCGACTCCGAGCTAATGGCGGCTCCGGTGGCGGCGCTGCGCGGCTGCGGCACGCTCATCTCGTCGTCCGCCGCGCAGCCGCCGCTGCTGCCGCGGCCGCGGCCGCCGCCGCTGCTTGAGCTAGTGCCAGACGCAGTCGATGGGCCCCGCTTCGGCGCCTCCTCGTCCGGCGCGGTCGCGCGCATGCTCTCCACCAGCACCTTGGACATCCGGTCGGCGATGCCGTCCGCGTACCGCACGGCCTCTGCCTCCGGAAGCGCGAAGGCCTCCGAGCGACGAGGAGACGGCGCGGGGAGGCCCTCTGCAGACATGCGGGCGGCCACGCTGGCCGCCGACGCGGCGCGAGCCTCCCGTCGCACCGCCGCCTCCTCTGCCGCCTCTGCCGCCTCTGCCGCCTCCGCAGCCTCCGCAGCCTCGGCCGCCGCCGGCGCGGAGCCGTGGCGGCCTCGGCCCCAGCGCGACTGCACTTGGCGGCGGGGGCGACGCTCCAGCCACGGGTGGGTCAGAATCTCTGCCGCGGTGAGGCGCTTGCCCGGACTCACGCAGAGCATCCCGTCCAGCAGGTCCACTGCGGCCGGCGTCAGGGTGCAGCAGCGGCCGAGCCGGCTAAAGATGGACCTGCGAGATGCGGCGGAGAGATGGTCGAGATGCGGGCCGAGGCGTGGCCGAGGTATGGCCGAGGCCCCCACATCTCCCCACACATCCACCGAGTGGCCTCCGCGCTCCTCCCCCTCGCCGTCTCTCCTGATCTCCCCGGATCTCCCCCCTCATCTCCCCTGATCTCCCCACTCATCTCCCCTGATCTCCCCACTCATCTCCCCTGATCTCCCCACTCATCTCCCCGGATCTCCGCGCGCCGGGTCGCCGAGCGGCCCTCGATCTGCACCATTGCCAGTGCGCCAATCTCCTTGGCGAACGAGCGGCGGTGCGACTTGTAGCCCGAGAAGGGGGGGGCGCCGGTAAGCACCTACGAGAAGGTTCCGAGAAGGTTCCGAGGAGGTTTCGAGGGGGGGGCGTACAGCAAGAGGCGCAGGGCGAGGGGGAGACGGTAGTGGGTGGGGTGGTA